GACTGAATTTCTCTCCCCATGGCGCTCAGAACAACCCTTTACTTTGCAAAGGGAAAGGATGCCAATAACACTGGATTTCAAGAGAGAATGGGGAAGTCATTGTGTCTGACCCAGGACTGAAAGGTTTAGGCAGTGGGACAATGAGGCACAATGGGGATACTAGGACCTGAAACAAGAGCATTTCAAAAACCAAGGTGTAGGAATGAGCCTCTAATCAATGCTGAACAGAGAGTTGAAAAATGAGAGTTAAATGGATACTCTCCCACTCACAACTTAGTCCTCTTTTCTGCCTGAGAACTTACTTTTGAGTCAAGACACTGTCCCTTTAACCTATGGTCTCTCAATATCTGAGGGAGTCCACATATCGACTACTTATATTACTGCTCATCAGAAAGAAGACAATTATATATTTACATATTTTTAATACCATGACACATTGAAAAATGGGTTTGAGATAGTAACTGAAATGTATAATTAGGTTTTGTTTTTAATAAGGTAAAATGAATCAATGCATAATAAATATGCATCTTCTTCAATTTAGAAAGTACAGGAAATACAAATACCCTACCTATATTTTGGTGTGTCAATATCCAGTTGGTTTTCTATACATAGAAACATACACACACACACACACACACACACACACACACTTTTTCTTTTAACAAAGTGGGATAATATCACATCTACTAATGTGCTATCTACTTTGTTCACTTAGTGATAATGCCAGCGATCTGAGCCTACCATGTGCTTTTTTCCTTTACTGGTCTTGAACTTCTTCCCTGCCAAGGGTTTTCCACAGCATCATTTTTTAATGGATGCATCAACTATGTGGTTTTCAATCACACATGGTAACCACACATAATTAAGCCAAGAGCCACATTACACCTTAGAGCCTGTGTGACAATAGGAACCCATGTGGATAAGCACGTTATCTGCCAAGACAAGCAGGTGTGTCCAGAGCGCGCATCACCTGCAGAGGCAGCCTGAGAAAAGGCACAGGCTGCAGCCCTGCCTGCTCGGAGAAAGGCATTACGTAAGACTTTGAATAGTATGAATTCCCAGTGATTTTTCAACGAGGAAGACACACATGAGAAGTATATGAGCTAAGTTCTCAACCTCTCACTGGGCCTGTCTGGGACAGGGTCCAGGAAGAATTAACTGAACTAAAAGAATTAATCAGAACTATAATCCCAGCAACTAGTTAACATGATCCCTGAAAAACAAAGCCCAAGAATCCATTCCCACCCCCATCAACACTGCACAACTCATCCCAGGCTGCTGATGTATTTGCACTCAAGCATCAAAGGGGCTCTGGCTGAGCCAGGGAGATTGCATTACCCTTCTGCACGGGCCTCTCCTGGGGAATCTGCACCTCCAGGGGAGGGGGGGGGGGGAAGGGGATACTTAGTCAAATGTAAGGGAAAGCTATAGCTTGATGATAATCATCGTAATCGTAGCTAATGTTTATTAGGTGCTTACTATGTTCTAGGCCCAGTGTCAAGTACTGTACATGCACTGTTTCACTTAATCACGGTAATTTCCCTCCAAGAAAGCTATTACTAGTGATGGATTTTACAGATGAGAAAAATGGCGGTTCGGACCAGGAAAAGTAATGTACTCCAGGTCTCAGAGTCAAGATAGCACAGAAACAGTGCCGGTGGGCACAGAGCTCCTACTATCAATCACCACACCACTGCCCCCAATCCTGACAGACAGAGAGATGTTCTGATAATGACAGAAGACAAGAAACCAAGATGGTGCCCCCTCTCTCAAGCCAGTGCTTCTTCACTGTAGCTGTCTTCAGCACTGCCCGGGAGCTTTTAAAATACAAATGCCTGAGCTGCAGAGCCAAGACCTGATTCAGAATGTACCAGAGAGAAACCAGCCACCTGTATTTTTAACAAGCTCCTTACATGATTCAAATGCACACCTAAGAATAAGAACCAGTATTCCAAGCAATATATTTCCACACCTTGGTGGATATACTAAAAATCTGGGACAACATAAGTGATAAATGTCACCTTGCAACTTCTTAGAAGAAATCTAAAAGGTATGAGACCTGGTTGCTTGTTTCCTCTAATCCCGGGCTCTACCTTCTACATTTGTTCAGAAAACTAAAAGTACAGTTTGCTTATCAGTGCCTTTCACCTCGATATACCAGTGCAATGTCTGCTTTGTGGTGTATCTGCATGGAAACTTAGAGATTAAACACTAATATCCTTTGCTACCCTTCGTCTGGCAGCACAGTTGAAAAACCTGGCAAGGTGACCCTCAGGAGCCTCCTCTCCAGGAAGAGGGAGGCAGCTGACAATCTGAGGCTGGAAGCTTTGGCACAGAGTCACTTCTGAGAGAAAAGGATGGGCTTCAACTTCTGTACAGAGCAGGGGCCCTGTGGAGAGATGGGGGAAAACGTGTGCTGATGGGGAACAATTGGAGCCTCTCAAACGGAAGCACCAAGCAAACTACTCTGGGAGTTTCAGGGACTGAAGAGAGGGCTGACCCGTGGAAGACTAAGCAGATAATAAACTGCAAGTACATCACCGAGGAGAAAAGGCATAATTGGATTCAAAAGAGGCAGATACGCAGACATAAGAGGAAATGAGGTTCTGAAAAATCATATGCCAAGTTTGAAGGTAGAGGAGAGGTTTTGTGTGTGTGTGTGTGTGTGTGTGTGTGTGTGTGTGTCCACACAAGCATGATCTCTCTAACAAGGTATATGCTCTGTGGCAAGAATCTGAAGAAAGGTAAGGTCACATCACACCTGGACAGGTTTCACAGCATGAAACCATGCACAGCATGTTTATATCACCGAGTCACTACACTGATATAAACAACCAACTAATAATATCTGAACTCAACTCTAGTCAAGTGGACAAAAGAAACGTGACTTTTTATATTTACATTAACAGGAAGAATCTGAATCAGTCAAAATTTTAGAGCAAAGTCTATGGACTACAAACTATGGTACATACTCTATGGGCAGAACACAAGACGATTCTGGGGTTGGATGTGGATGAACATTCTTTATCTTAATGGTTACATATTTATTTTCCTATATATTAGGGAACAGAACAGTGAGACCATCAAACTTACGTTTTTGGAGCTTTTACTGAGTAGGAATAGGCCATGTAAAGAAGTGAGTTGATTTAAAGTTGATGTAAAGACATGTATTAAACAACAGTGAATGAGTTATGTGGCTGTGGCACAAAGAGTGAATGAAGGTTTATGCAAATGATTCAGGTTTGGGAAGTAGGGAGCTAGGTATAGAAAGAGGCCTCACACTGGAAAACATTGTCGTTACGGAATATACAATTATTATTATGGAATACACATTATGGAAATGCAATTTCCCCCACAAATCAGCTGTGGGATCTTTATCTATATTTGAATTCCAAAGAGTAAACTCAGCAAAGAGCTTTGATAAATCAGTCTTCTGTCTTTGTCCATAGACCAGACAAAGGGAAGTGTAAGGTGTGTGAAGACTTTATTGTGCACTGTCACCTGTTCATCTAACCCTGATGGGTGGCCAGATTACAACCTAGGAGGGGCGAGTGCCAGTAGAACCTTCCAGCTCCTGGCCCAATCTTCCTCAGCATCAACTCACCCAACTCCTCCTATTGTCCTCTCTAAGCCAGGAGAGCCATTCTAATTTCCCAGAAAAAAGGGGGGGATTCTGAAACAGATTACTAAAAAGAATATTCACCTACACACATCTATATACTTTTCAATGAAAATGTTTCTTTTGAAATGTTTCTTCTTTGAGAAATGGGGGGAAAGCTAAACACCCCACGAATATTCAAGCATATGGAGATTTTGGTCTTGTTTTCAGGGAGCATTTACTAACATTTGGAGGAAAGAGGTATTGCTTCACCCTCTTCCCGTCTCCCACCCTCTGTTCGCCATCTGCAGACAGGGCCAGCAGTTGGCTCTGCAGCTTAGGCAGGTCTGCTTTCACACATCCTTAACTTTCATCCCCTGCCTGTGAGATAAAATTAATCATGGGCAAGGATCTAATTGATTTTCTCCCGATCTCCATCTTTTTCCTACATGCTCCCAGAGTATGCTTCTAGGCTGGTCCCAGAGCTGCTTTTGCTTCAGTCTCATCATAACCTCGGCACTATGGAAAGCATAGCAGCATTTACCAGCACTGTCTGATCTGTCCCAATCTGCACTGTACACGTTTGTACAAAACATGAGGTGACCATGGCTCTCCTGGAAACCCGAGAAGCACATCACCTCACAGTCTTGTTCGTGGCAGATGTGGGTGTGGCCAGGCCTTTTCCAAGCCTTTGCTGGTACATGTGGAGGAACCCAGGCCATGTGGACACCACAGTGAGAATGAGCCAAGCTAGACAGTCAAGAGGAACACAGATAATCATTCGAAGGGAAGCCAATCCAGGTACAGGGTCAAAGCCCTAAAATTGTGCATATCCATTGACCTAGAAATCTTTCCAGGAATTTATCTTAAGAAAATGATCATGACTATGAATAGATTTAGCTACAAAAATCATAACAGTAGCTTTATTCATAAATGCAAAATATATGAAACACCCAAATGGTACTAAATACACCAAGGTACAGCAGTATTATGGGATACTGTGACATCTTTAAATGCATGATGTTTGGGGTGGAGGGGTGGTGAAGATTTGTTTTCAGGCGTTATGATAAGGAAAGCCATCACTTTTAAAATGTGAGGGGCTACTAAAACTCATTTTTGTAACAAAGGAAGAGAAAGATGCCAATCCTGATAAGGAGCCTCTTCTCTTCAAGGCAAAACAGGTCATTATTCCACTTTGTGTTTTGTCCTTGTAGTGATAATAATTACAGCCCTCCACAGCATTTACCGTGGCACCTTGGATGGCACAGTGCAACACAGTCCTCAAGGACACAAAAGGCAGAGGCCCACAGAGAGGCCAGAGGTGTGGCCCCCGAGCAGCCGGAGGCAGAGGCGGCAAGGGATGTCCCTGGGGCATCACGCTAGCCCTGAGCACAGGACTCACGTTTCTCTGTCGACTGCATAGCATGGAAGAGCGTCAGGGGCCTCTCGCTGCAGGACGGGGGCTTGGAGTCACCACTCTTCTTCCGAGACAAGTGCAGCTGGGCATTGGTGAGAGGCATTTCAGGCACAGTGTTAAATATCTGCAAGCATAATTGCACAGGACGGTTACAGGCTGCCGTGAACTGGGGAGAAAGCAGAACCAGTACAAAGGCGGGTGGTGATGTCTAAGAATCAGCAACAAACCTTGAGAAGACCACCACTGTTTGCTCACGACTTCATTTTAATCATCTCTAGGAACTGGGTTAAACCTTCTTGTTGGGAAGTGTATCCCAGAGCTTGGTAACCATTTACTTCCATCTCTAACCCCTTCTCCTATTCTTCCGTTGATCTTCTTTTTGTTCTTCTCTCCAGGGGACATGGGAAAAATCTGTGCTAAATCTAAGCCATTGGCTGTTAACAAGCCTTCAAGTTTTGTGACCACCTTTGTGCAGAATCAGAGTGTGAAATATGCATTTAAATAACACTCCAAACAGAACTCCAGTGCATACTGGGCATCATTTCTTCATCTGTCTTCAGTCATCTTCGGGGCGGGGGGGGGTATCCTTTCTAGTGTTATCTTTGATGCTGAACAATTTTTTTTCTTATTTGTAAGGGGGGGAGACTTGTTGTTTTTCCTTGTGATGATAAAAGAAACATATAAATACTACAGGCAATTTGAAAAAAGCATCAAGAAGAAAACAGAAAAACTCTCCCAATTCTAGGATAACCACTATTAGTTTTTGAGTTTTATTTTCTTGTAAACATTTAAGCTTTTATTTTATTTTTTTTAAAAGTCCAAGGTAAAAAACGAGAAGAAAATGTTAGACAAAATCATGACAACGCTCATCTGTTTTTCTACAGACACAAGGACAGCAGAATTATTATAATACATACCACTTATATGGTTAGTTAGCTTGATTACAGTAGCCACCGTTCAATGTTGGTTCCCTAGGGACCTGCCACTGCATGTGTTTCATGGGTGGCTCATTCAGTGCTCAGTGACCTGAGCAATAAGTACTCTCCTCACCATTTATAATGAAGAACTGAGGCAGAGAGGTTAAGCTGCCACAATCAGATATAACTTCAGATGACCACATAGAAACCCATGTCCTTAGAATTTCCAGATTCATTTTTCAATGCATAAAATAATAACAGCAGCACTAATTCATGCCATCAAGAAAGATCTTTGAAGCATCTACTTTACGCCAGGCACATGTTGCCTGTGGTTAGAGTTTGCATCCAGTAGCTGTGATTTGTTGAGTCTTTGCCATGCCAGGCACCAGGTTAAGTGCTTTGTATTGGTTATCTCACTTAATGTTAAAGAATACTTTTCCATAATGATGATTATACTCTTTATACTGTTTTGTATCCTATACATTTCATTCAACATTACATTGTGACATTTCCTCCTTCATTAAACAATCTTCTAACACCCCGACTATATTAAATCAATATTTATTGATCCTCTCATTATTATCACTTCCTCTTTAGAGCTAGCCTCCTTCTGGATTTTCTCTTTTCCGACAGTCATGAATAATAAGAGGATGATGATGGCAGCCCAGTCCCTTAAACTATGGGTGACCCTAAACATATCAGAGTCTTTGTCATGGCTTTCTCTCCTTCATGTGTGCATTTAGAAGAACTAAGAAGCTGATAATATAGGAAGCAAAGTCATAAGAATGATAAGAATTTCAGCTCAAACAGCTGCTCTCCATGGGTTGGCAGGTCCTTGGGTTCCAATGATGCCAGCCAGCTGGTTCAGTCCATCTCATTCCCAAACACAGCTGTCTGAAAACAGCATTATCATATTTTCCCCAGGGGACTGAATTTTCAACAAAATAAACCGAATCACAACATAGCTAAGTTCAACTGGGGCAAGGGAGTAAGGGGAGAAGGGGACTTCACGCAAAAACAACTGAGATCATTTGGCTTCCAGAGGAGTTGGCATCCCTAAAAATAAGTACCAGTGCTATACATGTCCCCAGTCTCTTTTTGGGTGTCTGCAGGGGAAGAAAAGAGAAACTATGGTTGTTGTTGAGCTCAAGGACCACAACCTCTAAGAAGCTTTCTCTTCCCTTTACTTTGATCCCCAAAATAAGCTGAACCATGGCTGCTCCTGGGTGACAACCTGCCCATGCACCGTTATCATTGATATTTAAACACTGTTCCTTTAGATGAGTGTTCACATCTGCCCGGTCAACTCAACACAGCAAACAGGCTGAGCATTCCACAATGAGAGATTTCCCAACCAGCACAGCTAAGCAGAGGAGAGGCCAGGGCAGGAACCTGGGGCTGAAGTAACTAACACCTTCACTTTCCATGTCCTCAGCAGTCATTATTCATTCAGCTCAGCTTTTCTAGCCAGTCCTGACTATAGAGACCAGAGGCTCCAAACCCACAAGGATGTATTTCAACAAATAATGGTGTCTCTTAGAACCTTTCTGCCTCTGGCCTCAAGTACAGCACATACAGCAATTCCTACCTAAAAACATTTTAAATGAATTCAAACTTAGTGATAGGCCTCTGTCCTGTTATGCTTGGTGTCCCCCAGGTTTTGTCTCTCTTTTCTTAACAAGTTACTGAGAATGAGATCCCCACCAACTACAATGGGAACAGTTAAATTTCAACTGTAACCAAAAATGTGAGCACTTGCCTTTTCCTAAAACTAGTAAATGCTAGAGAAACAAAGGAGAGTAAATTGTAAGGAAGGACCGTGGATTTAGACAGACGCCTGAAAAATTGTGCTTATACACATCCATGCAGGGTGAGACAGGAGAACATAATATTTCATTGGCTGTTTCGTCTAAGTCAGGAGTGGGGAACCTTTTTTATGGCAAGGGCCATTTGGATATTTATAATATCATTTATGGGCCATACAAAATTATCAACTTGAAAATCAACCTGCTATATTTGGTCAAACATTTAATTAACTCACCCCTAATGCCTTGGAAGGGCCAGACCAAATGATTTCTCGGGCCTTATGCGGCCCTTGGGCCAGATGTCCCCCACCCCTGGTCTAAGAGCATATTAGAATACACTCTAGAAGGAGATTTTCACTGGGGGGAGTGTTACCATCCTGAAGGCCAGTTCTCTTCACCGTGAGCCAGGCCCTAGCCTCAGATGATAGGGCCATACTCAGGCTCAAGTGCAATGGTGTGCAAGTGAGCACGCTGCAGGGTGTAAAGGGTCAGACATCAGACTATCACCACTGTCGTAACAAGTTTTCCCAAGTGCAAGGGCATTTTGTAAATCAGACTACATCAGAGCAGATGACATGAACCTTCATCAAAGAGTCTGAGAAATCATTCCCCAAATTACTGTTGCTCATTTAACCCTGAAACTTGAATACATGAAGTTGTTTAAAAGCTGCTCCTTGTCTGGCCACCTTCTAGCCAGGCCAAGAGTGTGGCCTCCGTACTAAAAGTTCCAGTTGGAATTCTGATGGGAAACTGACTTATTCACAATTTTGTTGGTTATTCCAATCCTATTTTGTTTGGAAGAGATACTTTCAAGAGAATGAAATGAAGTTCCCTTCATTCTTTGGGGAAGAATAACAGTACCAATGAGTGATGGATGGATGGGAAAGCTTATATGATCTATGAGAAATGGATTTATGAAGCTCTATCATGTGGCTGGAACAACCTACTCATTTCGCAGGGCCTTCCCAAGTTAACACAAAAGGGGAGGGAGAGTTGTGCTATCTTATATGATCTATGAGAAATGGATTTATGAAGCTCTACCACGTGGATGGAACAACCTACTCATTTTGCAGGGCCTTTCCAAGTTAACACAAAAGGGGAGGGAGAGTTGTGCTACGCCACAAGGCCCTTGTTAATTCTGCCCAAACTTACGAACTAATTCTGACTTACTCAGGAATGCCTTAGAAATAAGTTATTAGGAAGCCTGTAAGCCTTCTGGAAGCTACTGGGGAATAAGACTGTAAAATAAAAATACAACTCTGGATAATTCTTCCAAGTACCCCAATTTCAAGCTTCCTATATATGGAATTAGCAGAACCATAAATTCCAAGCCTTGCAGCAGAGTGGCCAAGTGTGGCTGGGCCTCTGCAGTCATACTGACTGGGGCTGAGTCCTGGTTCTGCCTACTCAGTGGGCAACAACCACAGCTACAAAGACCTCACCATCACTGTCATATCACCACAAAAAATATAGACTAGGAAACTGCAGTCATTATATGGGTAGAAAGCAAACAGGCTTTGGAGCTAGACAAACTTTGGAACTCTTGAAAATGGGGATCTAACACCTGCCCTGCAGAGCAATTGAAATGATAATGCACATAAAATGCTTAGCACAGAACTGGGCAGAGATCAGCAGGAGGCGAGGGTGGTATAAAAGATAATAAAAAGAACCAAGAATATTAGAGTGCTTATCATCTTAAGTTATTTACACGGGTTATCTTATTATTTTACTCACAACAACCCTACAAGGGAGGTACTATTATTCTTGCCATTTGGTAGGTGAGAAAACTGAGACTCAGAGTAACTGATTAGTCCAAGGTCACACAGATGAGTACAGCTGAATGGACTTAGCTTGACTTTGTGTATCTTAACCACTAGTGGTCTTTATATCGACTATTATTTTGAGAGACAGAAGACAAAACAAAAAAGATCACATGATTTTAGTGTCTGACGGATCTCATTTTATCATTTACTAGCTCTGTGACTTTGAGGAAGTTACATAACTGACCTTCAGATGCCTCATCTATAAAAACCCAGGACTGTGGTGAGGACTGAAGCGCCTAACACAATTTGACGCTCAGTGCTAAAAAGACATTATTGCATTCAATAAAAAAGTCTAAGTAGGGAAATAACTGGAGACTCAACAATGAATTATTTGCAGTCGGGACATGAGGATTTAATTTATAAGTGCAAATTTAATTACTGCTCTTTGCAAAACATCGATCGTAACTGCTTACAGCAATGTTAGAATTTGATGTTCTTTTTCCCTTGTGTTGCCTACAAAATTCAAATTTCACAGGCCTCCCCCTCAAGCCCATCTTGACAATGTAGACCACTGACATTTGTGGAATTTGTTCTCCACGTGTCTCGTACACATTTTACACCTCTTCTAATCCCATCCGT